TACAGGGGTAAAAAAGATAGTCAGTATCTTTAAATTGAATGATTAGGTGGAAAATATACCAAGAAAATATTCACCTCGATTTTTGCCTTCTTAATTTAGGAGTAAAAGTACCAAATTTTCATACAATAAGGTGCAGTACAAGATATTGTACTACCCAAATATGCTTTTGGGGAAATATATTTTGGCATTAGAAGTTTTCAATTGTCACCATAGTTGCTGGTATCAGCCGATTCAGAAAACCCTAAGCTACAACTTCCGCACAAAAAAATCCCGATCAAAAGTTATTTAGGTCGAAAGTTAGCACAATATGTTGTATTTTAAAAACAGGTCTGTCCAGGTGTAGCCGACATGATGTGAAGCCGAAGACGATTTGAAATAAAGTTGTTTTAAAAAAATATTAATAGTAATTTGCATAGCATACAAAAATACTGTTCTTTTTTACGGCTATGTAATTTGGTAAAAGGAAAAAAAGGAAAAACCTAAAAGTGTTTCGTTTCTAGAGGGCTATCTACGGTGTTTTAGGAGACTATGCTAAAAAAGTGATAAAAACTCGGTTGCATGATAAAAGTTTGAAAAAAAGGCGACGTTGTCCGGCGGTTGTCGGTTCTGTTGCCAGTTGCACAGTTGGTAGCTCTTAGTTTGCTTCTTGTTGGTATGGCAATAACTTCCCTCACTACAGAGAGTGATTCTCGATTTCTCATACTTCCATTTTTCAGTTTTCCATCAACGAACTGCATTGTAAAATACGGCAACTCCGCCAGAGTGACATCAACACGTGTGAGAAAAACCAACAAAAAAAACGATATCTACAATTCTGAAATTTTGAAGTTAATTGTTCAAAATTTAAATTTAAACTGATAATTGATTGACAACGACAAATTTCACAGACATCGACCCGCTCTCAGGAACCCGAATTCCGTCGTGACTTTATTTATTTAAAAAAAATAACTGAGGTCTATTTATCAAATTATATAAGAGTATGGAGCTGATATTTTAAAACGGGTTTTACTTTTACACGACCAAGCAGTTGAGCATCTGCACCGGTGCAGTAAATGCATGAGGCTGGTGACAGTGGCGCGTTGCATTTTGATTCAGCGGAATTTTCATGTGCAAATTGATGATGACAGCGTGACAGATATACATATACACTATGCACCAATCACCTTTGCCACCAGCTTGGGTTTTGACAGCAAGTGTCACTTATGTCATGTGATTTCATGAACTGCGCAACGTTTTTCGATTTTGGATCAAATTATATTGGTTGACCGTATCTTTTCTTCCATACAATGAGGAGTGAAAAAGCCGTTCCGCCGATAGACTAGCTCCAAAATTTTAAATGAATTCCAGATCTGAAAACCCAAAAAGTACATATATTGTATACATATTTCGAGAAAAAATCGATATTCTTTTCAGGACAAAACAATGAGTTTGGAATACTTTTTACACTTGAAGTGAGCACTTTGTAAACGGGCCCGTTCCGATTTCAAAATAATTAAAAATTCATATGAATTGTGTATACTTTTATCCACTACTAGCCGTCGAGCCTCGACTCCTCGAGCTTCGAGGTTGACTACCATTTGCCCTTCTGGAATAATGGTTTGTCGCGTGATTTCATTTCCCAAAATTTTAGTCGCAATTTTTTATATTGGGTCATATTATTCGGTGTCAAATGTTTTGAGCCCGTCAATGAAGGGAAGCGACAGCGAACCTGCTGACCTTGTGCAAACTGCAAACTGCAAACAAAGCGGCATGGTCTACCGCTCAGCCGCTGTCCACCTTGACTTCTGTGTGTGCGATAGCGAAAGACAAAGCTAAGGGAGACAAAATAATGCACATATAACCATTGACCTGATCTAAATGAAAACCAATCCTATTCCAACTACACCGAGCACGGAACCCGAAATTTACTTAACGCACACAAAGATGGACTCAATCGTACCTAAAGACTACTTCTCGATCAGAAAGAATGGAGTGTCCCAATTCCAGGTGATGACCGCCTACTTGGGAGGTTCCGCTTTCCAGACGATTGTTGACAATCCCGTCACAGCCTACCGTCAGTTGGTACAACAATACGCTAAGGATTTGGCTGGTAAGCCTGTTGACCCCAAAATTGCCTCTCAAGAAGCAAAACAAGTATTCAGGAACTCTCCCGTATCTGCTTCGCTTTCAGGTCTAGGTCCCCGTCTTATCGGTGTGGGATTCAAGCGTGTGCCCAAGTTTGGAGCCCTTCTAGGTATTCAGTACTTCCTTATGGATCCCCATGCAGATGTCGGTCTTGTGGCCGCCACTGGTGCTTCTATTCTGTCAGCTCCCTTCATCAATCCCGTACGTATGATTGAGAAACAACAACGTGCATACTTCAAGCAGACTGGCGCTGAGAAGCCCATTATGGAGATTTTGCGCGAGTCAGCGGCAAAGAACTTCAAGCCACTATTCCGTGGTACCATTCCTCTAATGGGTCACTCCCTTGCCAGTGCTACCACCGGTCTTGTCGGACAACCCCAACTACAAAAGTGGATCCAGAAAGAGATCGGAGCCAAGAGTGATTTCGGATCATTCGCCACTGGTTTGATTGCATCCTCCGCAGTGAGTCCCATTTATGTTATGATGACCAACCCCTTGTCTCGTCTAGAAGTTATCATGCAGACTAGTTCTATCAACGGTAAGAGTATCGGAGTGACGCAGGCATGCAAGGAGGTTGTCGCTGACTCCAAGGAGTTCGGATTAAGAGGTATCTTCAGAGGACAAGGTTTGGGTATTGCCAAGGCCATCATCTCCTTGACTATGTTCCACGAGGGACGTATCTTCCTCACCAGAGTCTGGAAGAACCACAACGAGCGTAACGGATACCTTCCTGAGCTTAAATAAATGCAGCAAAGTGCACAAATTAAATAGCAAAGAACGGTATCTCCTTCGCTGAAGAGTGTATCGGTATATATCTCCGAGCGGACAGCACGGATTGGAGCCCTCTGGATGGAGCGCTTCGCTGTCAAGAGCAAACTCTTTAACTGTTATGGAATCGCAACCTTTTTATTTGGGATACAACGGTTGCTTGGAATTATGTAAACGTGACACACGTCGTAGGATCAGAATTAAAGTCGATCTGAAAGGTACGAAATATCAGTGCATTTCTATGCCTCTTTCTTTTATCTCTTATACTTTGACGGAACTGACACTGCGATGCATTTAAGTTATTCGCTATAGAACAGATTCCGTATCGCCAGGATTGCGCACAGATATGCAGTCTATACTGTCGTGACGGTTCGCTTCGCATCCTGGCTTCCATTTTATCGATCAACAGCAGGATGGATGGTTCCCTTTCTAGTCAATCCATAGGTTAGGTATGTAGGAATGCGTTGATTTGCTTCTAACTTCTCGGAAATAATCTTTTGTTCAACCTAAAGTAAGTCGTATATTACTGAATACCTTGCTAGCCTCCTCAAGTGTCGAAATTGTTGGGGACTATATTTAGGGTGAACACACTGACATACAGAGTTATAGACGTACCGGTAACCACACCCCCAGTGCGCCACCCAACTAAATACATACATACGGGCATGCATGCATTCATTCAAAGCATACATGGTAGCCTGTATGCAAGCATGCATTTATGCATGTATACATGCATTTATGCATGTATACATGCATACATACTTGCGTGCTTGCATGCATACTTCCATACATGCATAACATACGTTTGTATCTATGTAAATACATAGACACACACGCACACACATATATATATATATATCTATATCTATTATACATATATATCTATTATACATATATATATATCTATTATACATATATATATATCTATTATACATATTTATATATATATTATACATATATACATACACATATCTATTATATATATGTATATATTCATTTATATTATATATATATGTATATCTATTTCTGTTTCTATACCTATATATATATATGGATATAGCCATATATCTATCTTTACATATATAGATATAGACATATATCTATCTTTACATATATATAGATATAGACGTATATCTATCTTTACATATATGTAGATATAGACATATATATATCTTTACATATATATATATATAGATATAGACATGTATCTGTCTTTACATATATATATAGATATATACGTATATCTATCTTTACATATATGTAGATATAGACATATATCAATCTTTACATATATATATAGATATAGACATCTATCTTTACATATATATCTATATAATATATACATATATAAAGATATATGTACATATCTATATATTATATATATATATATATAGACATATCTATATATGTATATATATATATATTATACATGTATATAAATTATATATATATGTATATATATATATATTATACATGTATATAAATTATATATATATATCTATATTATACATGTATATAAATTATATATATATTATACATGTATATAAATTATATACATACATATATATATATCTATACAAATTATATACGTATATACACGCACATATATCTATATATGTAGTAGATATATATTATATAAATATATATCATATTTATATATAGATTTAGATTAAGACATATATAGTGATAGTTGTATAGATTTAGAGTTAGACATATATATATATATATATATATATGGTGCTAAGTATATCATATATACATACATGTATATATATATTATATCATTTAATGTATATATATATATATATCTGCATATACATATAATGTATATATACAAACATACACACGCACACCTATACACACACACACTCAAACTCTCACACGCACACACATATATAAAGAAGTATATATATTTATATATAGAAGTATATATATATATATATTTAAATACATACATATTTGTTTAGATATATAATATATTTATATATAGATATGTATATTGTAATGTGTGTGTGGTCCACGTATAGTACTGATTCATGCAGGATGACTCAAATTAAGGGTGGAATACCAGTGCTGTGCGTCTAGAGATGTTGGTTTTACAGATCCTATGAGGCTGTAAAATGGATACCAATAGAACAAGAGCATAGGAAGTAGTGGAAGATATATAGATAACGAGTGGTGGACTCGAGAGGAGGCCGGGCACTCGAAGGAATATTGTGTCAGTAACCAGAGGGGACTGGCTATAGGCAATATTTGTTGCGACTATTTAAGACAAGGTTGTGGGATGATTAGTCTTCATAAGCTTGTAAGTTATTACACTACTTTGATGATATGAACTATAACGCTATTTCACTCTAAAACCGTTCGTGAAGTCAACAAGTTACTCACAATCAAAGTTATTAGATAGTTGAATTAAACTAGTAGACATGTCAGCAGCTATGAAGTTTAAGTCCTTCAATGGGGGCATCGATGGCAGAGCTTCACCGTATGGAGACGGTGGTGAAGGTGAAAGAGTTGAGAACCGGTTGGAGGTTAATCAAGATGCACCATTTAGAGTGATCAGGGAGTTTGGAGAGAATTCCTTCTCCAAACTCCCTGATGTGAGCTTGGTCGGATGGCACCTGTTGTTAATTGGCAACCGTGCTCTGGAAAGAACTGCGGCGACAGCTTTGGACCCGTTTAATTTGGGCAATTATAACACCGGCCGGACAACAAGAGCAGCGGCAGTTGAAGAAGTGACTACTGACCCGCGAAGACTGCTGGGTCAAAAATTATTTGACGCGTTGGTAGAATATGTGGTGGTTTAGAGGGACACTGCTCGTGGTTCACTTGACTACAATAGAATCATTGGTAGTTACGATGGTATCTGGGTTTATACTTATATATATGTATATGTATAAACCCAGTTACCATCGTAACTACCAATGATAACTATATATTTATTATTTTTATGTGTATATGTATGTATTATAACACACATACACGCACACACACATATATATATATATATATACATATAAAGTCAAATGCCTGTCTACTTTGGTGGATTGTATACTATACTTGTTTATTTCTGTACTGTATTTGTACGATTATGTGCTTAACTAATATAATCATGTACTATATTTGCATAATCGTGTGCTCTATCTGTATAATCGTGTACTAATTTTGTGTCACCAATGCCACTTGTAACTCCTCTCGTGCTTCACCTGCACTCACTTCACTCCTTTGTTACCGAGGCTTCAAATCGTCCCAAGAATTGCTCAGCAGCCAGTTGATATCTGAATGTCACTATTTGTTCTATTCTCGTTTGTGTCAGAACCCAGTGAGCCCCATTGCGCTATACCTCTCACTTGCTTTACAAATCCTTTCTACGTATATTTCCCCTGGTATAGCCCCAACTTCATCAATCAGTAGGTCAATCGAATAGACTGCTCAGGAGCCTGTCGGAGCCCGAGCCTCCAATCGGGGTGCTACCCCTCCCAATACGTCTAATGCCTCTGCACCTTATAAAATAATAATAAACACTCTTTCAAGGCATATGTAGCTATGTACCCCCTTCTGCCTTTACGAAAACAACTACTACTCGTCAACAATTCGGTTCTCTTGCGAATTAGTCGCTGCTTAGCAGCCTGTCTGAGTCCAAGACGTCACTCGTAACACTATCACTGATGAGTGGTCTGGGTGCGATCCGCGCCATTGGCAGCTGCTCAATCTCCTCGGGCTTTCTGTTACGGCTAGACCGAACATTCCACCGTAACCAAACCGCAACAATCATACCTAGCGAGCGCAGAAGAAAATAAATAATATTAGCCGCCCGTTTGCACACATGTACACATGCATCTATGCATACGCATATACACAAGATTCTTAGAAGTAGTTTAAAAAAACGGGTTGTTAATAGAAACATGGTTGATGTTAGGGCGTAAGGGGCGCGATCTCGTGACAGTGATTTGCCTGAGGAAAGAACAGTATCGACCAAAGAAGCCTGGAACACACAGCTGACTAGCTTGGAGATCATACTACGTGTGCTTGTCTGGTATTCCATAAACACAAGTGTTGATATCCAACTTCACTACTGGGGTTCTGCCATATGGGACACCCTCTAAGTCGGATAAAACGGTACTTGACTACTCTGGCAAGGGTAATGTATGGCCAGACACCGAGACACTTCGTCTTAAAACATGTGATGCAAGGCACACGCGTTTAACAATCACAAATCCTGACAGTAAATCACTGGGCTATGCTTTTGCCACCTCATACCCGCCATACTAACACCACAGGCAAGACATACTTGAAACAATCATCAGCCCAAACATCACTACCGGGGTGACATACGACGGTTTATTTCCGTGCTCATGTCTGTGTGCATGCGGGTTCGCGTTCCCTTCCCCTTGCGTATTGCTTATCCCGGCATCCGAGAAGAAGTTCGGTACAACGCCCTGACTCACTATGGTGCCGTCCTCCAGACGCACATGTGTGGCCACGTGTGTGACACTCAGATCTAACTCATACACTCGCGCACCTTTGGCCCAGCGTTTCTCACCGTATCCCCCATACCCCGAATGCCGCCCGAAACACAGTCCCAGTTGACGCGTTGACATGCTATCCTTGTGTTGCTCCTGACCGTCAATCGTTGCTGAGCAACAGAAATCGTTGCCATGGTTATGTCCGAAGGCGACCAATTTGATACCCGCATCTGCTATCGTCGCTCCAAAAAGTGATATATTAGACTCGATTCCGTTTTTATACCTACTATCCCCAGTCTGATAACCAACAGAGAACGGGTCTATGCTGTCTTCCCTTGTTCCAAAACATGTGGAATTAGAAGCTGCGGAGGTGCTCGTGGCCGACAAGTCCCTGCCACCGACCGACTTGGAAAGACCTGTTCTATAAATAGAACTACGGGATCGCGCCACGTTCTGATTGGGCGAGGGTGATGGGGACGTCCGGCTACAGTGGCACTGCATCACTTCGGGTGGCGGTGCATGGACAAACAAGAAGCCTGGTACATGCCCGTCTATCTGTCTGCGACTGTCCTGCGCCACCTGTACTTTCGCATGCGCAGACGATCCCGTACTTTTCGGGTGCGCATTTGTACTCCTTCTATTTATAGATGCCTCCCCGGGCCTCCCCTCGTGCGCGCGCTCCGCCAAACTCTCGGCGGTGTCTGTAAGCCAGTCCAGCTGCTCTCCAGTCACACTCAAGGGTAGCACACCTCCCCCGCTATCCATAAACCACAGTCTGGTCGCTACACGGCTCTTGAGCAAATCAGGCGTCTCGTGCTCCGTGGCTGTATCCGCATCTGGTGCCGTCTGTTTGTCCTCCGCAGTACCATCCTTTCCCGGTACGTCACCGTCCTTCACCGCACTACCATCAGATAGAGGTGCATGAATGTCCAGGTAGTAGGTAGAGAGACTCTCCCCAGACTGTGTTGCTAGGAAGGACTGTGTGTATGACAGCGTATGCGCCCGATCTAGCTGCAGTAGTGTATTCCTGGTAGACGCGGTCGTGTGTGTCGATGTGTTAATATGCTGCTCTCTGAAGTAGTCCTCGATGTCTGCGTCGATGGCCATGTCGTCATGGTTACCAAAGATCTGTAGTAACGATTGGTCGAGAATTGCTACGATGGAGTGCCGTCGGGTGTGACCTCGTCGGCCATTTCAAGGGCAATGCATTGTTCGATTTGATGTGTATAAAGCATACACTTGCAGTTAACCCTGCTATACATAATGTATGTGGTGACTCCACTACAAATACAGACAAGAATATGTGGACCATAAAGTACTCGCCGAAGGCACCGGATGAAGAGAACAAATCTACGTAGAAGCACATGTCTTTTTACACTTAAATGCCAGATTCTCTAAAGAAGCGAAATAAACTTGGGGCGTGATCCGCGATTTCGTCCAGATTTCAACCGAGAAAGATTTCAACGTCTCGAGTATGCATTTAAAAACATCTGCGTCTAAAAATATTAAAACACCAGCAGAATTGTGAAGGCGTTACCAAGAATGAGCCGATGTACAACTATAAGTAATTTACAGAGTACAATACTACAAACGATAGAACAGACGAACAGGGTGAACTATGGCCCTTTCATGTTCGTCAGGTATATATATATATATATATATATATATCTATATCTATATATATAAAATTAATATATATATAATTATAACTATAATTATAATTATATTTCTAATTATATTTCTAATTATATTTCTAATTGTATATATATATATATATTTATACATATATATATATAATTGCATAT